CAGATCACCATAGGTACATGTGGAATGTTATAAATGGTTTATATTTACTGTATACCTAAAAAAAACTTTATAAGAAAAATTATTTATTGATTTATCCAACTAAACAGAAAAACTGGCATAAAGTAATAAATTCATTAAAAATCTATGCTTTTGTACAAAAATCTCAAAATATTCCCAGATTACCTTTGTGATGTGAGACTTCTGGTTATATTTTTATAAGGATCATAAAATTTAAACTTATCTTACAAAAAAATATTTTCATTAGTGGCTGTCAAAAAAATAAGTCCTAATATTAAACAAAAGGGGGTACTCAAATCAAGACTACATTTTATGTGTTTCATAAACCACCTAAGAGTGAACTCTGTGCCAAATTTCAAGAAGATTGTCATAACGGAATTTGCGCTGCAACTGCTAGCCTAAAAATCTATTTTCGAAAATATAAAGCGCAAACCTCTTCGTGGAGCAGCGATCTTTGTATATGAAGTCAATGCTATGCAGTTAACACAACCTACAAATATTTGCCTCTTACATGCAAATAATGATGTTTAGGATTTTTTTCAAATTTGAAATTTTAAACAATCATAAACCACGCCCACTTTAATCGATCATTACCACATTGATATTGTAGTCCTAAGACTCTATAATGATGACAACCACTAAGTTTCACGCAGATCCATTTAGCCAGTTCAGCAGTATAAATTCTTCCCATTTATAGTGCCCCCTATAGTTGAATCAAGCTGAAAATCAACATACACTTTAATTGACCTTGGGTATGGTTGATATGAAACGCTTTGAAAAAAGGTCAAAATCTTTTAAAGTTATACAAAAAAAAAACTTTTTCATTAAAAAAATGTTTTAAAAAGTTATATTTCCAAAAATAAATAAAATATCAAAAATCCGTCCAAATCGTTTGGTCAGCCGCTTTTCCCCTCTTGTCAGGCAAAGTTTTGATTTGATTGAGTTTGAAGGCCGGGAGGAGTTAATGAAAGTACGTTTGACTTATTTTGCAATTTTCTACTAATTTGCGTGTTTAAATTTGTTTTCAAAATACTCATCTAAATTTGACTGACTCAATGAACATACAGGATGAGATCATTTGTTTTTTTTTTTACTGAAGAAATGGGGAGAAAATCGCTCAAAAAATTTTAGGGGTATAACAGCGCCACCTATTGGACCAAATTCAAAAAAAATTTCTGTGATTGTAGATGACATTATTAGAGATTTTCATGAGTAAAAGGGCAAAAAATTTTAAAGCCTATAAGCCACGTCCACTTTTTAGCCATTTTCAAAATATAGCTTAAGGGTCCGATAATTAACATCTGTGCCAAGTTCTGTGGAAATCCATCAAGCCGTTTTGCTGAAACAAACTTTTTGACTCTTTAGCGACCCCTACTGGTGAATCAAAACTAAATTAAGTAGATGTTGCTTACAGCTCATACTTTGTGAGAGTCTAAAGTCTCATCATCTAAATCTAAAAAATTGTGGAGATATCATCAATTAGGATATGTGCTAGCTAGCGCACTGAATTTGACCATGTGTCATTTAAGCAACTTTAAATATTTCTGCAAAATTCTTCATCGCAATTACTTAACTTCATCTATAGATCATATATCCCAAGGTTGAAGCTGATTCGACGAAAAAAAAGATGGATTGGTGATAAAAACTAAGTTAGCATTTTTTGCGATCTAGCAAAAAAACTAGTTAGGCGGAAATGGGCGTGGTCAACATAAACGACATGCAGAATCATTCAAGGATCAAGCACATATAAAGTTTTTGACTATAGGGCCTATGGTTTGGGAGCTAGTAGCTGAAACGCATCGACCTTCGCAACAGCGCCACCTAGTGATTGCTGGTTATGATTTTTCGAATCTGAGCAGCGGTCAGGATTTTCTACCAGACTGCCATGTCAGATTTTTTTCTGGCATTTTCTGGCTCCTGCGCCCATATGGAATTAGCGGAGAAGAATAATGCTGGAAAAATAATGAAAATTCGGTACAAAAACAATAGGGTTCCCTGCCCGTTTGGGCTTGGAACCCTAAAAGCAATAGGGTTCCCTGCCCGTTGGGCTTGGAACCCTAAAAGCAATAGGGTTCCCTGCCCGTTGGGCTTGGAACCCTAATTAAACTTTGTAGAACACTACTAATGAACACAACACAAAGGAAGCCATAGCTTGGGGTCTGCTATGAAGGACAACTTATCAGTCAGAAGCAGCTTTCTGCTGGTCCAGCCTCAAACACCAGCACGCTTTAACAGAAAATACCAGTGATAAGTTTTGGCTGAAAAGAAGTAGGTCAGAATCTCTCCACTAGTTTCCACAATACTTTTGTGCGACCATTTTTAATTAGAACATGTGTAGCTGCTAGACTGAGCATTAAAGGTTATTAAACCAAAGGCGGACGTAGGAAGAGAAGAAATAAACCAGGCAGAGTGCATTTTGTGGAATTTAGGCGCTACTAGCACACAAAACTCGTTTTTCAGAGCTCGTGGAGTAGCTTAACTAAACCAAGCAGGTGTACGGCTGTGACGACACGTACTCTTTTCAGGTATAAAATATAATATTTTTCAATATTCTTTTGAATTATCGTTTTATATTCTGTTTTCTTTCTAAAAATGCCTCGTTGTGGGGTTTTTAAGTAGCTGTGGGTTTGGTAGCATGCGGGTTTAAGCCGTTTAATGTTGATCTTCCGCGTTATATCATAATGACACTAAGTACCGTTAATAAATTCGACATTTTCGCGTTGTTGCTTTTGTAGTTAAAAGTTAAACACCTTGTTTATTCGAAATAGAGAAGTAGCATATGCTATCTCATGGCTGGCAAACTTTTGACGCAGTACGAAAGTCTGACATTTAGCTAAATTTGTTTCAAACTAATTCGGTTAAAAATAAAACCTTCCGCAGGAGACTAGAATGCCTTAAAACTGAATTGAACTGCTTACTTTTCTCTGTGCCCTCCATTGCGCGGCTGGGAGTTGTTTCTGGTGTATTTTTTTCGCCTAGACTGAGCAGGTTGCTCACTTGGCTGCGGCAGGTCTTCCTGTTCTGTCCTTCATGTTGCCAGGCAGCCCACGTTACGTACGGGGTGGGGTCCCGCGTGACGTCATAACGCAAAAGTGTAAACACAGATATGCACGTGGGTCAGGTTTGACACCACAAATAATAGCGGTCGGAAAAGTCAGTATTTGGCGATCAAACGTTTTAGCTGGGATATTTTTAACATAACATTCAAATAAAATTGTTAGATTTAATTATTAGATTTTTTTTCAGATAATTATATATTTTTTATTTGTTTTGTGTATTTTCCTGAGAATGTATATTTTCTCAGCACCTATTCGGATGAAGGTTGTTGAACATTTTAACTGTGTTGAAAACTATTATTGAAACAAGAAGCTTCCGGGACTGAAAAATACAATATTCAAAGTTGATTGAACTCCATTTTTTGTCTATAAATGACCAATAAGCCAATTAATTATAATTATACACAGGGCATAAAACATAAAAATCATGTTTATCAAATATTGTCCTCCTTAGGGCTACTATTGTTTTAATTACTTGTAAAGAAATATGGGTGAATTATTCTATTAGATTTCATTCATGTAATTTGATGGTCATCTAAAGACCATTATTAAAGATGGTGTTTTGCAAACCAAAGGTCCCTAATTTTAATAGATGTAATAGACTAATGTGGAAACTTTAACATGAAAACATGTGAAATCTACATTGCACTGGTTAGTGACATCTTAATGCTTGCTGTTGAACAACATGTTTCTTGCTATGATTTCACTGTTTCTAGCAGCATAGATGAAATTATTAAGATATATTATTATGAAAACTGCAGATTATATTATTCATGGTTTTTAATAATCTATTGTAAACCAGAAACAACCCCATGCTAGATGTTTGACCCTACAAAAACAGAAATATTGCCGAATTAGCCAAGTATGTAGTAAAGAAGAATGCCTCAGAATCCATGAGCATATGCCAGCTCAGGTGCAAATGCTGATAATAATCAAGTCTAAGAATATCAAAAATTACTAACATGCACACTTGAAATCTGATCTCTTATTCTAATCTGCTAAAAGTAAAATGTTGATGTGATGCACTTTAGGTTAGTTAGTCCAACTATCTTCCAGCCTGGTGAAAATTAACTTAGAATTGAAAAATAAGAAAAAAAATGTTCTTTTTCGCATAATTGGGAAAATAATATGACATGCACCGTGTTAATATGTAGAACATTTGTTTACTGTTGATAACTGAGAAACTGATATTGATAAATACACCCAGAAGCTGCACACAACAGCACAATTTTGAGAATTGACCTGTCATTGGGGTAAACACAGGTTTAGACCCCACTCATGATCCCACACTGCGTGTAAAATACTTTTCAAACTCTTTTCAAACTCATCAAGGATTACTTATTAACAACTGAGACTCCCATGAAAGAGTGCCACCTGCTGGAACTATGTTTAATGGACATGGAGCAGAGATACGCTTAAACAATATTTTTTTAAATCTGATTGATTCAGAGAGGATGATGGTTTACTGGGGTTAAGTAAGAGATTTGTGATTTTAAAATTGTTAAATTGTTGATGAACCCTAGCACATACTTCATGTTTTAAGTTTATTGTCGTACATTTTTATTGTATTATACCAGTAAAGGTGGTGTTTTTTTAATTTGATGTCTCTGTGTAAAAGTATTACGTAAATGGATGCATTAATTTTAGTTGTGACATTCTTATTTTTGTAAATAATTGATTGTGATTTATTTGACATACAAAGACAGCATGCATTCCTGTAGGAATAGATTTATTACTTTTTGTCCTTTTGTCAAATTAATTTTGCACACAGGTAAAAATGGGGCGCTGGTTATTTAAGGTGGAAATTTAAAAAAGGAAAGCAAAATGGGTGCAGCCCAGCCTTGAAACACAAAAGCCCCCTTTAATCATCTACAGCACCCCCATCTTCCTTTAAAGCCGCCCCCACTCCCCTCCCTCCCTCTTCTCCTGTCGAGGTGCATTGTGGGGAGGAAAGTCGTTGCCATTCGACCTCTGCGGGGCCTGCGCGGACGCAGCGAGAACCCTGAAATTCATTATGCGTTTAAAACCTTTATTTATTTCCGCATAACCTACATACTCTCACCGGGAGGTTCGAGCCGAGACCAGAAACGACGGCGGTCCATCTCTTTCGAACAAATCCATCGTTTGTAAATATATTATTTTATCGTCGGAAGGGAGATACTGTCGAGAAAGTGAAGATTGTAACGTTTTGTATATTAAGGGGAAAATGTCTGGCGAGAGAAACCGCAGGTCGTTGGCTTTCCGAGGAGGTGGATTAGCTGGGTTAACGGGTTCCAGCAGCATCGGCGGGGGGAACTGTAACAGCTGGGAGGCCCCGGCCTGTCAAGATCGACATTTTAACGGGAATCGGTCGGATCAAGAGGAGGACCGGGATCTGGGAGCGAAAGGACCGTCGCAGAAGAGAGTGGAGGGCGCTGGATCTGTCAGCGATAGCACGGAACCCGAGGCGGAGGAAGAAGAGGACCCGGAAGGGGGCAGCTGGGCAGCTAGGGACGTTGAGGGGCTCCGTGGGACCAGGGAGGGCAGTAGCTGGACAGCGGGGAACGACACCAACAACAACAACAACGAAGACGGTCTGGAGTCCCGGAGCGCAGCGAGGGGTGGGGAGACGGGCTCCAAGAAATCCGGGGTAGAGATGAGACCGCAGACGCTGCTTCAGAAACACTCGCTATTCCACGCTTCGTGGCTGCAAGAATTTCCATGGCTCAAATTTAGCCAAGAGACGGGACTCATGTCTTGTTCTTGGTGCCACAACATTGCCACTAAAAACAGCGACGAGCTCGTGAAGGGCAGCCGAAATTACAAGCGGGCCTTGCTGCTGAGACATCACCTGTCTTCTGAGCACGGCAGAAATGACCCCACCAAACAGGTAACGTTAGCTGGCTTTCGTTTACCCACGTAACACGAAATACCTGTCAAGCAACCCGAAACACTATATGCCAGTACTTCTTTTGTCTCTAATGGCGTTTTAGTAAAACCAATAAAACACAACCGAAGCGAAAAATGGTCTTTTGATTTCAGCGTCGCGAGCCCTTCCTCGGGCTAATTAGTTAGCCTCCGCTTGCTAACCTGAGCTAACAGCTAGCTTAGCTTTCTAAATACTTGAGGCGTTGCTGTCTAACCAGAAGTAGATGGACAGACAGGTCGTGGGACATGCTTAAGATCGAAACCTGTCCACTTAATATTAAACGCGAAACGTTTCCTTATTGCTTTAAGGTGTTAAAGCTCGTTTACTGTACGAAAGCTACAAGTACACACCTGCTCCACGACACCTGCCATCTGCACAAGAAGTGCATGTTTTACTGGCTTTGAATGTTTGCATGAGATAAACCGATCGAGTCTGGCTATGTTGGCTTGCTTTCTGGTTTCTTTGCTTCTGTTTGTAGTCATTTTAAATTGATGACTGAACGAATATTTTTTTCATATTTATACGTGATTGCCTGACTCGGATCCCTTTTTTCATGAACAGAAACGGTTAGTACTCACAAGAATAATACTTTTCCACTAAAATGCCAACCCACACTGAATTCTAAGACATTTGACAATCCCTCTATAAAAGAAGTACACTTAATAAATAACTTGCATTTGATCCACCCACACACACTGAATCAGACCATCATGGTACCAGCACCAAATGTACCAGTGCTAAGATTGTGTTGATAAGACCTTTATGCAATAAAATAGAAAATACAAGTGTATTGTGTTAGGATTAATCATTTATTTTTTTCCTTTTGGTGTTTGAACCCATTAAGCTGACTCTCCTTTCAAAATGCACTATTGATCTCAAACAACAGTTGGATTGTTGACTCCTGTATTTAACAGTTTTGGCATCATTTATGATTGCTAGCTTGCCAGAGGTCACATGATAGCATCGGTTTGACCCTGACAGCCTTTGGGGAGCCGCACCCCTACCCAACCCCCCACCTCTCATGCGAACTCTGCTGCCTTGCAGTCATGGATGACCTCTGGTGCCGTTCTTCCTCCACAGCCACCACCTCCTCCTCCCTTTAGGGAGCTAAATTAGAGGCATTGTGCTAGAATGACCCCCCAAAATCCATAGACGGTGTCACTTGCAAGGCTGAACAAGAGGAGGAGAGTAAATCATGCTGCATGGTGGCTGAAAGCTTGCTTGCCCAGAGGCGACCCTTGGAAGGGTTGGAACCTGAATCGGTCTTCATTATTTCTAGATTTGTAGCTCTGATTTCTTTAATATATTTTCATGCAAAGATTATGCAGTTACCTTAACCCAAAGGGGTACCAAGCCAAAACGGTATCCGCATTCTGCTTAAAGGCTCCAGCCAGATTTGCATTTGGAGCATGTCTTCACTGATAGGCACAAGATCTTTTTTTATCGCTTTATTAACGTTACAGCAGTGTAGACATTTCTAATGAGCTGTCTTCGGTGACGTCATGAAAACAAACATGGCAGATTCGCCTGTGCGGTTTGGTGAAGATCATTTATTTTAATTCTTTGCTGCTCATAAGGCATCTCCATATCTCGACCCCATTCTGAAACTGGTCTGAGCTGTCAGGAGAATTAGGAACGGGGCCCAATTTGACTCTAATTTGTGAGCGAAGAGGATTTCACCACTACATTTAGGTCCTTCCTTTGTACACGCAATCGCTAATCAGAATGACTTAAAGTCGTCCACCAACTTGTACACATCTCTAATTGGTAAGGAGGCCTGTAGGAGTGGATTAGAGGCTTGGTGTGGCCTTTTCCCTAGTAACAAGGACCCCAGATGCCGCGTTGCTAACCATTTCCTCCTGCAGAACCCAGGAGGGTTCACATTTTCTTCTTTTATCATTTAAAAAGCTCTTATTTTTTGTGCTGCTTCATTTAAATGAATGCTACATGTTGAATAAAATCAGAAGCTCCATGGTGTATACTAGACTGGAACAGATTAAGCAGCCCTCTAAACTCGCCTGCATTGTGAAGCAGCACATTAAAGGGGAATTATGGCGTTATGAGGCAATGTCTTGTTCTAGTCACTCATTCCTGATGTTAGTCAGGCCTCTGCTGCATTTGTTAAAGCTAACTCAATTATCCTTGGTACACTCAGACAGCTATAGTAAATGTGGGTATCCTTAAAGAAGGGGCTTGTTGTCCTTAATTTGTTCCATGCTGTCTTGTGCTTAGATAGCTCCCCACGCTGCTCGTCGGTAAGGGGTTACGATGGGGCAAAAGCAGATGGTGGATTTGCTGAAACGTCTTTTTCAATTTAGGCATTTTTAAACCTAATTTGTTCAGTTTTCATCATGCATATTAAAATAGATTCAGACAGCGCATGTTAGATGTTAGATTATTGAATATATTCCATCTGGGGTGTCAGATCAGCACACCACGTTTGATTCTCAGAAAGGAAGTTCTGACATATTCAGCACCATGAAGTCATTTTCACCCGTGAAATTAGCTCTGACAAATGCCAATGATTGCAGAGACGCCCCAGATGCGGCCTGGCAGATAGATGGGATGTTTATTAGGGGCCACAGGTCAGGGGGAATGGGTAGCGTCGGAGCCAGAGGGAGAATTCCTTACTGAGAACCCTACTTGTGACACCCCCCAGCTCTTTTAGCATTGTTAGGATGCAGGGAGACACTTGGTGCAGCCCTCCCACACCTTGGGCCAAAAGCACACTGCGATATTGTTCTAGCATCTGCGGGGGGGACAGACGGGTTGTGTGAGCAGAAGCGGGCGGGCGAAGCAGAAGATGAAGAAGCATTGGGCTGGTGGAGATGGCCCGAGGGCCGGGCTGGTCATGGGACCGGATAGATGACGGGTGGGGGTCTGAGTGAGGGGATGGAGGCGAATGTGTGCATTAAAGGTAAACAGAAGTGGCTCCAGTGAGTCTTTATGTCGCATAGAGGCAAAGAGTTGTGTCACATGATCTGTGAGGGGAGTGTCTAAATGTTTGGCATGCATCTGCTGGCCTTGGGGCTATGTGGTTTGTTTGGGTTTGGGGTGTATTTTGTAGACAAAAGTTTATTTTCCCCTCTCATCTCAACAGTACCTTTGACTGTAGTCAACACAGCAGTAAGCTTGGATTCATTGCTTCTCCGCTTTATTGGATCCACCTGTAACTCACCAGCTCACTTTTCATTTTTAAAGCTTTCATATTGTAGTCCCAGATCAAAGGATTCCTTCCCCAGCGCTTTCTTGGATCGGGTACGCTTGGCCTTTCCTTCGCCCACCTCTTCCATCTCTGGCAGGAATGAAACCGTAGCCACGTAGCTGCGAGGGGAGGTGGATATCATCCACACGTTTTCACTTGCCTCCAGCATCTGCTGTGCAGGGTTGATCTGCTGGTCCTCTAAGCTCTCTGCTCCTACGTGGCACATCTGGAGAAGGGATGATGCTACTGATCTGGCCAGGATCAAGAATCTCATCAGCCTGGCTATAGCTGCATGCGCTGAAGGACATCTAGCTGTTTCTGTTGGTTTCTACCTGGCTGGTAGTGAAATATTTTACTATCTATATTTGTAGAACAAGAAGAGGAGTGGATTAAAAAGAAGCACTGACCCAAAACCACATACGAGTCTTCTCCTCGCTCTTTTACCTCACTGATATATTCCACTATAGTACTCAACAGGATGACCGTTGCCCTCCAGAGGCTTTGATGTGTGTATCGTGGAATAATTTTCCTCTTCTCCGCTCAGCCTCTCGGCCTCACCCACATGCACCACGGCTTCTTTCTGTGCTTGCGAGTGGGAGCTGCTGTGCCGTAAGAGAGTGCCGAGCCTTTTTACAAAAGCCCACAGTGAGTGGACAATGAGCCTCGGGGAGAACACGAGCTATTGTGAAATGTGAATACTAAAATGGGGTGACCCAACAACTCTGTCTCTATCTGGCTTGCTCCCCCCTCTGCTCCACATTTCCTCCTCCGCCTGGTTGTATGCTGCTCAAGGTTTCGCTCGCTGAATCCCGTCCCTGTGCTCGTCTTGTGTAATAATTTTCTTTACCTCCACCTCTTTTCTATCAGCATCCTCTCTTTGCATCTTTGCTGCCTGCATGGCCATGTCCACACTCCCTCACCCCGCCTCTCTTTTTGATCCATCCCATCTATCTCCATCTCTCCCCCTCCAGCTGTGGCAGCGGATGATAAACCCCCTGCACGGCCCTCTGTGCCCAGGCTGCCCTGGACAAGAGCTGCCTAGTGGAGGGAGTAGGGGTGGTGGGTGGGGGCTGGGTGGGGACCTCTGAGAAATGGATTTAATCTGAATTACTCGGGCTGAAACCCACATCTGTGTGTGTGTGTGTGTGTGTGTGTGTGTAGGCAGCTTGTTTTCTCTTGTGTGTTGCGTGTGCACGGAAGAGGTTGTGGGTGGGGGCAAAAATGCAGGGCTCGAGCAATGTGAATTATTCTGGATTAGGACATCTGCTGCGCAATTCGAGAATGAGCCAGAGATGTATGCCCTGCTTATGTGGGACAAAAACACCCTTAGATACACAGCATCTACGTGCTTTAGGGACATCATTTTATTTTATTATTATTCAATATCGACTCTTTGTGTTGGGTAAACATGCACACAAATGCACTGCTGTCTTTTCTGCTCCGTATCATGCCGGCCCTTTGGCCTCCCCCTCCCCCTCACCCCGGTGAGTGGGATGTGTTGCAGGGTAGTCCGATGCTGTTGCCAGTTCTCCTCCCGTGCAACAGGCAGGTTGTGTTTTTGTTTAAACACTTGCCAACCCCCCCCCCTCCTGTTCGATTTACAGCCCGTTTCAGCAAACTTTAGCAACAATCTAAAAAGTAGTTTCTCGAGATTATGCAATCCTAATTAAAGCCATAGAAAGGTGCCTTCTTTAATTGTAAAAATATATTTTATCACTAGAAGTGCTGAAAAAGAATCGATTCAAGTCTGAATCGGGATTCTTATTTATAAAGGTTCAGAATCGATTCCAAGAACTCAAATATTTGGCATGTTACAGGTTTGAGATGCACTTTTTTGATTTTTGATAGGAGAGTCAGTACTCCGTTTACTTTTGTGGTCCCATAAATTGAGATGATTTATGTTTGAATCTGCTGATAAGAGAGCACAGGAATGTAATTTTTTCCATACTCATAAATTTGAGATATTCTCATATTTATTTTCTAAGTTGATAAATGAGTACTCAGGATTACTCATGTAACTTGTTTCTACACATACTTTAAAAGTATTTGACCGTATTACTAGGGCTGTCGCAATAATCGCAAGAACAATATATCGCGATATTAAGAAACCCACCATGCTGCATGACGTGCCACCGCAATTACCGCACTTGATTAAGTCTCGCGACAGCGCATGCTGAGAGGTAAAGTCCGCGTTGATCGAGGAGATAGTAGGGCACTTTTTTTTATTTCTGTTAGATGTTGCAGCCAAATTAGCATTTCAAAGTTAAACCTCCTGAATGTTGTTTTCAAGTTCAGTCAGAGAATGCCGTTACTGCCCTTTGATCTGCATTCAATAAAATGTTAAAAATGGCCATGTCTTTTTTTCTAACATTTTTTAAATGTGTAAGCACAATGTTTGAAAGGAAATATTACCATGAGTTTAGTAATTAACAAACAAATTTGCTAAGTACATAAATAAAAACGAGGTGCAATAATATCGCATATCGCAATATTGAGCTGCCATGACTCACCGCAGGGGGAATTCCTCAATCGCGACAGCCCTACGTATTACTTTCAAAGCTACTGTTGGGTAACTACAGATTTGTTATATTTTACAAGGTAAGCAAAAATAAATGTTGCCTTTTGGTCAAAAGATTGTTTCTGTTTACAGTTTTAGAATCACTTTAGTTTACCTTGTAAATTAGCATTTTTGGAGCACGACCAGTTTAAAGTCAAATAAAAATGTCCCATAGCTTTAACTAACTTGTACAACAAAGTAGTTCATCCTGGAGCTGACACTCTTTGTTAATACTGATTGTTAATCGATTTAAATTGAGAATCGAGAATCGATTCTGAATCGAATCGGCACCCCAAGAATCGGAATCGAATCAAATCATGAGTTGCTCTAAGATTCACATCCCTATTTATCACCCACACTGATGAAATAATTTAGGTTAATCGTGTAAAATTTGAAGCAGGTCGCTTTTAAAGCTGCAATGTTAATTTTGTCAAACTAGCAAACGAATTAGATTATAAGATTTTATGCCTCTTAACAACGTTCTAACAGTGTTAGCTGTACATATATCGTGGAGATAAAAAGAAAAACCAAAAAATTAAGTGGTTTTCTCGCATTTGTCTAAAAACCTGTTGCATGTTTCAGACCACGTTTCTCGTCGAACCGCCACACTTCCCTGGGTCCTCCACTCATCACACACTCACATATTCAGCAACAGAACACCACTAGAGTGAGAGGTTCTCCGCTCAATAATATCAGAGAAGGAGAAACGGCTGGCTGCTACCACTTTAGGATAAACTATCAGAGTCCCAAAAAGAAAAACACCATTTGAAGTATGACTGAATGATTTAGGAAAACAGTCTAATTGCGATTATTTTTTAAATTTTTTTTGTTCAATATTGCAAATGCCATTTAATTCACGATTATTTTCTCATGGGGCTTTTCTCATTTTTCAACTAACAGAAGCAAAAAAAAAAAAAACAAAAAAAAAAACAATCCAACATACTGAATATAAACAAGTTTATGTATCTACATATTTATCTACATATCATATCAACAAGTTTATTTGTCAACACATACATAAACACTCACAAGTAAAGACAAATTTTGTATTTGAAGGTGCGATGCTTTGCAGCCAGGTGCACATCCCTTGAAGGAGCATAGGTGTTAGCATCAACTGTGAAAATTGATTTTCAGGAAAGAAGTGTGTCCCCTTTATTGAAGTCTTTTGTGTTTAGAGTTTTTGACGTCTTGTCCATGCAGAGCTTCCGTAGTTCAGTTACGTTCATAGCTGCTAGCCAAAACTCAGTGGAGTTGAAGTCTCTTACAGTTTTCTAGCTCTACTAAAACATCTGTCTGTACTTATTTGAATCATGGCAGTTTTTACTTTTTATTAGACTCCAAATGTAATAATTTGGCATGTTCCCAATTCGTAATTTGTAAGAATGTAATCAGCGATATTAGCATTAGCATCCCTATAGGTTTTTCAATGTATATTAGCATTGTGCTAACCACTCGCTGCCGGTCAAATCGCAGCCTTTGCGATTAGAAAATCTCCTTTTGTCACATCGCAATTTAAATGCATATGCAATTAATCGTTCAGCCCTAATTTGAAGCCACGGTAACCAAAAACATTTGGATCTAGAAAATGGCGACTGGTGTTTAGCACTGTCTTGTTTCCTCCAGCATCCCAGGTTTCCAGTTCTGGCAGCAGATACTCGAGGGGAGCGCTGAGTGTTCCGTGATAGTGTTTGCGTTCAAAACCTAGCTTGTTTGCAGATTCGTCATAACGGCTTTAAATACATGGAATAATTGAAGTGCAAGGTTGCCTCTTTTGCAAACGCTGAACTCAAAATTTGTGTGATTTCAACCAGATTTGTTTTTTCAACTCTAGAGATGTCCGACCACTATCCAGCATGTTTTAGTTGTTTGTCTGCTCAAACACATCTTATTTAGTGGTTGATTCACCTGTTTAGCACTTCATCAGCCTCTGCAGAAGCATGTTCATCATTATCTCGGATGTGTTGAAGCAGAGTAGCTTGTAAAACACACTGGGTGGGGGCCCTCTAGGACCAGGGTTGGACACCCCTCTTCTACAAAGCTGAGCGAATAAACCGGCGTCCTCTCAAACACAAGCTTATTCATGTGTAATTAACTGAGACATAAGAGGCGAGGCGTCCGTCCCTTCTAGGGAAGTTAACAGCTTAATTATGGCTTTCATTGCATTTTTTTATCTGTAGTTCTGAGGTTAAAGTTTGGGGAAGCAGTTTGATTATGTGGCAATTCAACCACCCAGCCTTAGAATAATAATCCTTTCGTTGCCTCATTCCAGCCTCCCCATTCATCGAAGCCTGTTCGTCCTGTTTTCACCTCTTAAGCAGGTGCATTAGTGTCACACGAGGAGTCGAGGGGTTGTGTGTGTTTGTGTTGTGTCGACAAAACTACAGATTAGGAAAACCTGTCTGGGTTGTAGGAGAATATCGATACATTGGAATATCGCCATACTTGTTGTTTTGATACGGATTTAAAAGCTATGTGTTGATTCTTTTATTTTATTTTTTTTACTGAGCTTCACTGCTAATTACTGTATTTCTTCTGTGTGGTACAATTCAAACTGACATCTGGTGATAACAATGGATGAGTGTCTGACCCGAGTTTTGCAATTAAAAAAAATCTAATAAAGTCATTGTATCATAATATATCATAACCCCTCTATCAACACATTCTCACACCCAAGGCGTCAAAATATGACGCGTGTGACCAAGCCTCAATATGTAACGATTCGGGACGCCCCAGTGCGTCAGGAGACGACAATCAGGGACAAACAGCTGACGCAGCATCCCAGAGTGTCGGTGTCCGACACCGGTGGTGAGACGGACATTAGAACTACTTGTGAACTACTTAACCTTCCCCTCACCCCAATCCTAACCTTAAGGTCATAGTTTATGGACCTTAAGGTTAGGATTGGGGTGAGGGGAAGGTTAAATAGTCGAATAATGTCTGTGTGACCGTGCGCGTCAAACAGTGACGCCAGCGGAGCCACGTGTCCCAGCGTGTCCCTGAGGCTTGGTCACACGCGCCATATTTTGACGCCTTGGGTGTGAGAATGAGTTGCCTGTATAGCTCTTACTGCCCCTACTGGTGAGATTGCATATATTTCCTGTAATTTTTTTTTGTCTTTTTCTCTTAACCAAAAGGAGACTTCGAGACCCTCGGACACCACCAGCTTCTCCACTAACGGCTCAGAAGATTATCGTAACAAACCCAATGAAAACTCCTACTGCTACCAGCTTCTACAGGAGTTGGACAAACAGCGCAAAAGTGGCATCCTTTGTGACGTGAACATAATTGTCTCAGGCCAGGTGTTTCGCGCACACAAGAACATCCTGGTAGCAGGCAGCCGCTACTTCAAAACCCTCTACTGTCTGACCAAGAGCGAGGCCCAGGACCAAGCCACTGTCACACACCTGGACGTTGCTGCTGTGCAGGGCTTCTCTGTTATCCTTGACTTTCTCTACTCTGGAAATCTGCTGCTCACAAGCCAAAACGCCATAGAGGTAATGACTGTGGCGAGTTACCTCCAAATGACGGAGGTTGTTCACTCTTGCAGGGCTTTTATAAAAGACGCCCTAAATATCAGCATTAAGCAAGAGGCTCCAGATTCAGTGGTGGTGGACTACAACAAGAGGCAAACGGTGGCCAAAGATGGACAGAGGGGCCTTGACCGGAAGCCGAGCAACTTCTGGGCCACCAGCATCCTGTCGAAGCTTTCAATCAAGGCGAGCAGCAACCAAGGAAAAGATGCCGTGAAAGAGGAGGAAGAAGAAGACATTAATGGCAGGGTGAAGGAGGAGAGTAATGAAATAGAGGTGACGGTGGTTGGGGGTGAGGGCTGTGCCCTGGTGACCCCTGGGGGTTCTGGTAGCTGGACCCACCACAACGACACCTCATCCGATTCAGCAGAGACCAACGAAACCCGGACGGCGAGCGGCCAGACGCAGGTGTTCGTCTGGAACGAGCCAACCACGGGTGGCATGGCTGCAGCCATAAAGCGCGAGGCACCAGATCCTGCAGCTGGAAGCGGGCGGAGGAAAAAACAGACCACCACCCGGCGTTTTGTCTACAACTTCCAGCCTGAGCCGGTAGAGGGATTCGACGAAGGGATGTTGATTCAACCGGTAGCTTCCTTCCCTAGAGAGGACTTCTCCTCCCTCTCGGAAAACGCTGGTAAGATGCACATCTGCACTAGTTTCTTCCCTAGTTGTCTATTTCTTTTGGTTAAAACGCACAATTATGTGTATTGAGTGGAACCCCCGCTCCCAGACAACCCTGTTGGATCGAAGCGTGACACCACCAGAACTCTGAAGGCGTCCTGTGGCATCTGGCACTAGGTTGTCAGCAGCAGAGATGCGTTCAGTCTAAGTTGGGGGGGATTTGTTTGTCCAGCACATTCCAAGATGGTTAATTGGATTGAGATCAGAGAATCTGGAGGCCAAGTTAACCCCTCATTGTTGGTGTTCCTCAAACTACAGTTGAAACCAGTCTTTGACATCCTGGAGTGTTGTTTCTGTAGAGGGGAGTTTGTCAGCGACACCGTTTAGGGAGGCGGTACAAATCCGAATAACGGACTCAAAGTTCCTAAGTGGAACACTGTACTGGACCCAGCTGTCCTCCCCCCCTCTCTGTGTCCAGGTGCTGGCTCTTCCCTGACTTACAAACGCGGTATTCCACGCAGTTCCTCAGAGGTGTTTCTCTTCTTGTTCAGCAGAGGTCACAATGTTGCGGCCGATGTGTCAATTTTACAACATTAGGTATGAAAAGCTAAGTTAAGAAACGGCAGACGGAGCATCTTTAGGTTTGGTTTCACGTGCTTTGCATCTTTAAGTAGCCTATAGTACATAAGCCTCTGGTCCATAAAGATTAACAAAGGCCTGGGGTCAGAGAGGGGTCGCAGAACGTCGCTAAGTCGTGCTGCTAACCTGCTTTTGATTATTATTTCTGAATATCTTTGGCAAACTGATACCTAAAGACTCACAGGAATGCTTTAAGGGTTCATCTAAATAAAAAATAAGAGTTTGTCAGTGTAACATATCCCTTTAAGGCTCTTTACACACCGTGTCGTAAGATTGTGTGTACACCTCATCCTCCTTTAAGATTTATAATGTGATTAATTCTGTGGAGAATAACTAATTCCTAACAAGCTCACAAGCAGCTCTTCTGCTTCTTTTACAACCCATTTTTGTTCCAGCTCCAGTTTTAACCTTTAAATTACATTTTTTTAACCCTAACTTCCTTTTGCACAACCAAATAAGATATTATGGGTCAGTTTTTGGAATTGTTTAGGTAAAAACTTATCTACTGATATTTATACTGACAGTTTATCACAAGCCTAGTGCTTTTATTCCTGCAGTAATTTTTCTTTTACATGAGTAATCTACATGTTTTTCATGTAAAAATTATATTTTAAACGTTCTTTCCGGCCTCAGATAGATAAGAGGATCTTGCAGTTGCGTCACGTCTGGTTTGTGTTTGTAGCTGTTAGGAAGGAGCACTACTACACCTACATTCATGCACTGAAGCCCTTTTGGGTACTGATCTAATCATGTTAAGTGTAGATTGTTCCCCACAGTGGGAAACACTGATGCATTAACTAGTTTACATGATCACCGTTTACAAAAGGGGACTCTTTGATAAAATTTAGCTTCTAAATTTGGGAAATTTGGTCCTCAACAAGAAGGATCCTTGACATTTACTAGTTATGAGTGTGTTTGTGTGCCACCAGAGCCGGATTAAATAAATGGCTACACTAGGCAGGCTGCATTTTTTGGGACCCCCCTCCATCGATGTTATTTAATGAATTGAAATCTGAAACTTACCAATGTTACTAATAACAGTTCATTCACATTTTACATAGCCTAGTCTTTGGATACAAATTTGTTGTTTGTATGCCATGGATTAAAGTTCTCCGTCGTGGCGACGGAAATCCATCAGTTGGAATAATCAGTAAAAAGTTCCGTCAAAATATCTTCTCTCGCTTGCTTGGGTTTAGTAGTCTCTCTCTCTCTCTCTCTGTCGCTCGCTCGCTCTCTCCTGTTGCTAATTGAAACGCGCACCGGTGTTGTTGAAACGCGTTTCCACACTGCCCAAGCTGCAAAAACGCACGCGCTCATTGCACGCGCCCACGGTGCGCACAAACACAAACTGTGCGCGCACCAGGCGCTGGGATTCTAACGGAGCCAATAAAGCTCTGATATCACAATGAGAGTTAAGGTGATGAGCGGAACCAGGACCCAAATTCCTGGTGGGCCGATCTGAGGTCGGTGTTTTTAGTCGTCTTTCTTTTTTTCGGGCCTGTTTTCAGTCATGACACTCTGCTGATGAGAAGATTTCTCCTGTCAGTGGAACAGGTGAGCTGCTGAATAAGTGTTAGTTCCTAGAAACACTTTCTATGCCCAGACTGTAGTAGGGTTGTCACGGTAACCAATCTAGCAGTAAACCCCGGTAAAAGAGTTGACAATAATAACCATCTTGTCTTTTTAAAACTATATTATCTCGGTGGATTACCGTGGCTGCGGTGTAGGCGCGGTGACCCTTACCAGCCACCGTATCATCTGCTGAAGTTGCCGGCGGCACATGCGCACTTTGTTGTTTACAACCAAAACTTTCTTGAAGCCAAAGCTGAAATAATGGCCAAAGGAGGAGACGGCAGCGCTCAGGACATTTATTATCCCTCAAAGAAGACCAAGTGGGAAGTACGGGCATTTTCTGGATATCTGAAGAACTCCGAGGGACAGTTGATAGAAGACGGCTATCCTGTTTGCAGCACGTGCAGAAAAAGTGTCTGTGAAAGGCAGCAACACTTCAAATCTCATGACACATCTGCGTGACCATCACCCACAACTCTACAGTCAACGCAAGGCAAGCTAACGTTAGCGTTTTAGCTAAAATGCGTGATCCGAGGATTTGGGTTGAAGGAGAATGCAACGAGTCGCTATATAAAGCAGCCGCAGCGCCGCTACCTGCATATAAACCGTGTCGCGGACACCCCCATGTTGAAATGACGCTATGCATTGCGGGGCTCCCAGGGGCAGATAAGAGTTGGTCTCTCTCCGAGAATAATTATGAATTTAACAATGATTACTGCCTGATGACATTGTCCCACATCTGCAAAGCTCACTGGAAGGACACAAACCGAGGATGATATTTTCCTGATATAGGGTTTATTACTCAAGTAAGGGTAAAAAAGTATCTGACTAGAAGGCTACTTGAGTACTGAGTATCATCTGATCTAATATTTTTAAAATGATGACCTCAAACAGACATAAAATAAGAAGTTATGGGCAAATATTGGTATTTTAAAGACTAAAGGGGACATATGTAAACAAATAAACAACATTATTACAAAATAACAAATTTTAGGCTAAATTTAGACACAAACTGAGGACAATATTTTCCTGATATACAGGGTTTATTTAATTGTGTGAAAATGTAACGCGTTTAAAAAAATACTGTGATAATACTGAAAACCGTGATAATTTTGGTCACAATAACCGTGAGGTTAAATTTTCACACTGACAGCCCTAGACTGTAGTGACCTGTTATTTGTAATTTCATAATATTGATTGAATGCACTAAACCCACAAATGATAGAAGATTAAATATTATTAATCATATTACCATCAAATGTAAATAAGTATAGCAGATAACTAACCTTAATGAAAAAATGATATTAATTTTTATTTTAATATTGATTATACTTCATTTCTAAGGTTTGGATGTCTGTGAACATTACATAATATTCAGATTGGTGTAAAGAACATGATATTATTAACAGGTCATGATCTAAAGCTGGTCTGAGGTATAAAACTCTGCCCTGGGCCTAAAGCCCTGCAGATATATTTAGTTTATAAACACCAACAACAAATAAATAACAGCAGCTGGACTCCACTTTGTTCCTTAAATTGAGTCACGTAGTTTTGCAATTTCTGCAGCTCACACGTTCAACATGGAGCTCTGCCAGCTGATTGGTTCTTTTGGGATCTAGTGCAATTCTGGTACTGAGCATGGATCCATCAGCGGATTTCACTGTAGTCTTGTGTTCATAATGGATTAAGAAAGGACAGGGAAATATTGTTAACTCCAATATATCATTGTAATGAACATGTATAGATACTTTATCATACATAGCTACCAGCCTGTAACGCTACTTTCCCCCCAAAAAATGCACGAGACTGATGCGTTTAAATATAAAATGTCCAATAATTTTTGGATGCCGCAGGACCCCCATAGAGTACTTTAATAGTTATCATCTTTTTTACCCCCCCATAATTTTCAGTCAGATGAGAATTCTTTTGCTTCAATCCCTGTTGTATGCCAAAAATAAGTCTGTTTAAACATTCTATCATTCTATCAGACTATTTTTTGATATTAATAATTTATACGCCATTACACAGCTGTATTAAATGCTAATAGATTATCCTCATCTTATCCATTGGGAGTGTCATTGTTAAGGCAGTAGTACCAGTACTAACCTCTAGTTGTCATTAAACTGTGTAAACAGAGCAAATATGTTTATCTTATTTGCTCTGTTTACATTTAATCAGCACGCTTAATTAAAATACAATAGCTGACAACATTTAGAAATGTTGACAAATTAATCGCATGATAGTAGAAAGACATTCAAGAAGGAAATGGATGAATTTGAATGGACTGAATCATGTTTAAAGGCACAAAAACAAACTATAAACACGCTGCTTATATTATTGCAGTATAAATTTAATGAAATCTATAATCTTAAAAGAAAGTCTTCGTCTTCGTCTTCCTCCGCTTATCCGGGTCCGGGTCGCGGGGGCAGCATCCCAATTAGGGAGCTCCAGGCCGTCCTCTCCCCGGCCTTGTCCACCAGCTCCTCCGGCAGGACCCCAAGGCGTTCCCGGACCAGATTGGAGATGTAACCTCTCCAACGTGTCCTGGGTCGACCCGAGGGTCTTCTGCCGGCAGGACATGCCCGAAACACCTCCCCAGGGAGGCGTCCAGGAGGCATCCTGACCAGATGCCCAAACCACCTCAACTGGCTCCTTTCGATCCGGAGGAGCAGCGGTTCTACTCCGAGTCCCTCCCGAATGTCCGAGCTCCTCACCCTATCTCTAAGGCTGAGCCCGGCCACCCTACGGAGGAAACTCATTTCGGCCGCTTGTATCCGCGATCTCGTTCTTTCGGTCATTACC